GAGCACATTTAAGTGAAACTAATGTTTAGAATTATTAATAGTAGCTGCAGGTTCTCACAAATCACAGGCCACAGATGCATCTTTTGCGCAAGACACAAAACGTCTTCAAGAATCTAAAGCTAGTCTAGTTGCTTTTGACTTATCCCCTCTTGTTATAACGTGCATCATTATTTATTGTAGTCAACTGTGCAGAACAGGCTGTAAATCGCAGCCAGAGAGAGCACGCATCCGTCAATTTATCAGTCAAACAAGCTTCAAATACTGGCAGAGACCGCAGGTAGTGAGAGTCTAAAAGCGAAACAAGTTACTCTCAAACATACTTTTTTCATTCTCTGGTTGAAAGTTTCACATCTATCATCGTGGTCCTAAAAGTCAGTGTGGACCTTTTACTATTTACTTCTCCTTGACAGTAAACTGAGTTCTAGACAAAACAAAACATCGAAATACAGAATCTTAAGCTTTTATCTTCATTTTCTGACATCTTCAAGACCCAACAATTAATCGCAAGACTAATCGACAAACTGATGAACACAGAAAATAATCAGCAGATGCAGCCTTCGCCAAGAGCGATGTCACAGTGTACTGAGACACCCTGTAACACACTTGGAAGTCAGCAGAAGTTTCAAAGAGTTTTAGCTGCTGCCAAGTTTCCAAGTGTAGGTACTTTGTTGACTTCAGCACATTGAGATGACAACACAGAAGACAGATTTTCCCTTTTTTTCCCCTTCAAATGCCTTCAAATAAGACATCACACGATTTGTTCATTTCAAGCCGACTAAACTCTTAAATCTGCATTTGCTTTGTAGACAGGTGATCTCTACTGGTGGACAATTTATTCTACATTTTGTGTAAATGACTGCTGGCTTCACTTCATTCCCTACAATCATATGCCTTGGACAGTCCTCTGCATGCTCTGCACACTGACAAGCCGGTCGTGACTTCAGGCTTTGAGCTGCAGCTGAGCCTGTGGTAATGCCCCAGGCTCATTTGGACTGCGCTATCAGTTTGCTCTCTGCTAATTGAGCTGTTGAGAATGCAGTTTGCAGGGGGCTTTAATCTGACAGACCCGTGGGCTAGTAAGCATGTACAAAGCATACAGAAACAGAAGCTGATGTGTTGAACACACACACCTGCGCAGACACTTCTCTGACACCTTTGGCACCTGCCACGGAACAAACTGATTGTGCGCCATCGCAGTTGTTGCCGAAACGGGCAGCTGCACGTACAGGAGCGAGGCAATAACGCTGACAGATTTGCTGTGGGACAGTGAGAGGAAGGAGAAAATGAGTAGATTTATATGATCTTCTCAAGCTTCTCCGTGACTAACCTGCATAAGATCCTTTGCACCCAGTATGCAGCCGGCCGACCTCCAGTGCGGTCTAATCCATCTTAGTCCGCAGCAGGTCCTCACTGAGCAGCAGAACCAATTCCTAGTAAAGAAGCTGATAACAGAATGTCATTTATGTGAATATTAATCAGTGACATAAGGAGACGAGGCATCGTAAAGGAAAAGATATGAGCTTTGGGGTTTAATTTAATGACTGATAAATGAAAAAGAATCACTGCCGAAGAATTAATATTCATTTTTCTTTGCGTTCATTATGGTTGTCGGTTGAGGCAACTTATCTTCCTATGAATAAGAAAAATGGTGCATCAAAAACTATACATCAAAGACCTCTATAATAAATAGAGATTCTTCACAGTTTGGGAACAAGTCTGAGCAAACAAGGGCAGTGACAAGTGAAACAAGGCAACAGAAAAGGAAGATATTTTCAGGCGCGTGAGCATGGTAGAGGCACAAAGTCAGTGGATTTAGCTGTGACGTCTGAAACTGTAAGACGCTCATACATCACAAGACCGCTGAACTTCTCTCAAGGACGACGAGAAGACAGAATGAATAAGATCACAGGCCGGTTTGCAGTCTCAGGACACCTGACCCCTCCATTTTCTGAGCTCTGAGGGCTCGGTGCTCAGGATGGAGTGCTTTTTCCCCAGAGAGGGAGAGGGTCAGTCGGGGGCCACCTACCTATCAGCCTGACAGAGCCGAAACGGTTTAATACCAAGATCACACCACCAGTGCAAACATGTACTTTAGAAAGCGCCAGTTAAGTTTGTTTATAAAAAAAATAAAAATAAACTGTTGTCAATGAATCCTATTAATTGTAGACAACAAAACTTTATACAGTCACTCATATTAATATGACACTATTATAAATATTTCAGGATTTAATAATGATGTTTGATTTACAGAGTAATGTGGCACAGTAAAGATGAGGCAGACTAACTGGAAGCTCCTGAGTAATCAATAGTCTCTGTTCTGAATGCGAATCAGTCCATCACCTTCACATTAATTGAGATACCTCAATTAATTACTGAGAAGAGATACGGTCATGGTTCACACTGCTGGTCTCTGCTGCTTGTTCTCCAACACTTATTTCTAATAATTCACCCTTTCTAAAGTACTTATATTAAAACCAATGAATGAAATTATAGTTAATATTTTTTTTTGCCCTTTGCATAATTGGCATGGCTTCTTATTTTCTCATAGCATGCCATTTTAAATCTTGGGAAATTATTAAATATGGGTTTTTAGAGCACTCAACAATCAATTCCTCTCAGAAATGTACATACATTGTCTTGTTTCTCATCAAACGCTTCTAACTGATCCATAGTAAGTGGTTTATTGACATCAATCAAGTGATTTCTACAATTTATAAACCCTTTACCCTGGTATTCTTAGCAGATGCCAGTATTTGAGTATCATTTTCTTATATGCTACCCTTTAGTGTAACAGTAAGTTGGCCTTATTCATGGTTCAAAACCATTTTAAATTTGTTTTTTATTTCTTATGAGCCATTATAATAACCGTAAAGACTACAAGGTTATTATATTGATGTAAAAACCTTTCATGAATGAACACATAGGTACAGATAGCTTCCTGCTAATAATAAATGACTACGTTTCTAACAGCTTATCCTACATTTCCTTTAAATTCATTTATTTTCACCAAACATAATGCTAAAGAGAGCTAATTTGAATAAGGAAACACATCCTTTTTGGAAGACCGCAGATTATATTCTACCAGAAGCTCTCAAACCTTTAACGTTATTTCATTTAAAAGAAACAATAATTTGGATTTTTCTAAGAAAATATAACTTTGTGTGTTGAGTTCAACACATAAAAAAATTATTACAAAAGTAACCATCAAGCACACAGGCTAGTTGATCAGTTGATGTTTAAAGGTTAGACCAAAACTTTAAAGGGTAACTAAACCTAAAATGAATGATGAATTGAAGACCATGTCAAGCACCTCAGATGCAGCATCTCAGTGCTACACTAGAATCTGTAAGACTCTAATGGTACGTGTCAACTCAATCCATCACTTCAGTGCTTCTCATTTACTGTCTGCGTGAGCAGCCCTGCAATGCATTATAGTTGCATTGTGATGCATCTAATGAGATCGAGCATTGTGCTGCCCGCTCCTCATCTGAATAAAGCTGAGGTCTAGGCTACTGTATGGAAGTCAGTAGCATCTGGGAGCTGCTCAGCGCATCTGGAATCTCCAGTTAAGTTTTAAAGCAACCATTACTGATCTAAAATGAAGACAGATACAGCACTGTACAGCTCTTTTCTTGCCTCAAATGTGAAGGGTGAGGCCTGCATTAGATCCCTGTTGAGGATTGATCATCTATTGTGATGCCGCCGAGTTGTACGGCCATCAAGCAACAAATGTTCGGAAGCGAAAACGCCCCTGTGGTCACGTACCATAAAGCTTCCTCTGTTATGTATATTAAGGGTAAATTGGAGAAGGAACCAACACTGAAATTACCACGGATGGCTAAACATGTGTGAAACACAACAAATTCGAGGACATGGAGGGAGTCTGGATGTAAAAATAGAAACTGGCATTTCATTACACCCAGAATAAAAAAGTAAGCAAACCGGTACTGATAGATAAACGCACATGCACATACATTTTAGGAAAAGGTGCATTTTATAGCAAATTTTCTGGGATAGGAAATACCTACGTAAACATACGAACATAAAATATAAATGATTGTGTCACTGATAATGATAGATACACCAATAAGTCGCGATATTAAAACCACTGACAGATGTGGTGTTCAACATTGATCATCTCGCTACAACGCAAAGCTCTCATTGCTGAGAAATGTTGGGAACATGCTGAACTTTGACACAAAAAAAATGCAAATGGAGCGAGTTTTCAAAAATAGATTTGTACATGCAGTTCCTTGATAATGAACACTTACAACCATGGCTGTTGTGTTTATTTTCCATGTCTTTTTGTACCTTTCTCCTCACAGAAAAGTCATGAATTCATATGCACAATACTTTCTGTTGTATGCTCGGGCAAAAATAATGAGTCCATGTGAAATGATGTTTCACCAGCAGAGTGTTAAAAGTGAGGGCGCGACCGTTTTCATGACGATCTAAAGGGAAATGTATCTCACGCCACGAGATGCTATGAAGCATTTTTCTCTGCTCTCCACTTCTTTTAATAATACACTTAAAAGAGAAGCCATCCTCATTCCTCTCTCAAGGTCACAACGTTTTCAGAAAAGACAGATGAAACACAGAGCAGGCGCTGGCCACAGTGATAGTGCCATCCCTCTGAATTTGCAAGTATGGATGACGGCCAGTGTTTGCACGGCAAAAGTAAGACATGTGGGTTTAAGTGATGAATGAGTCTGCAGCTCCTGGAAGAGCAAAATAAAGCAGAACCACTTAGCTTCTGTCAAAGCTGCACTACAGAGCCCACTGGTTGGGCAACTCACTTCTCAATGTGTGATTTGTCCGAGGGTAAATTACGAGCGTGTGGTCTTGTTGGCGTGGAAGCCCTCCAGAGATCTCGCTGCACATTGTACAAATTGAATTAAGATGTATTCATTTTGCTTGTTAATCAAGAGCAAACTGCATGCAGCTGGTTAACTAACTATAAAGGTCTCTCTACAGTGACTCTGTTTCCCCTCTTTCTACAGGGTGAGGGCTCCAACTTCCTCCAGTTGGGGTCCTCCATTGAGCAGCAGATCAACGGCATGTTCAAGGTGATGGAGGAGTACAATTGGGACAGTTTCGTGGTCATAACCAGCCTTTACCCGGGTTATGAAACCTACGTGGATTACATCAAGTCCTTCACTGACACCAGCTACTTCATGTGGGACCTGCAGGATGTTCTGACCTTCGACATGTCTGCCGACAGCATGAACGACATTCGAGCACGGAGGCTCCTCCAGCAGATCGACGCCCAAGTGCTGCTGGTCTACTGCTCCCACGAAGAGGCCCAGTATCTGTTTTCCATGGCTGCCGAGGCTGGACTGGTGGGGCCGGGTTACATCTGGATTATCCCCAGCCTGGCTGTGGGAAACCCAGACATCCCTCCCCCTGACAGCTTCCCTGTGGGGCTCATCAGCATCATCACAGACCGGTGGAGGATGAGCCTGAGGAAGAGAGTTCGGGATGGGGTGGCCATTGTGGTGAAAGGCGTGCAGAGCTTTCGGAAACAAAGAGGCTTCATACCCGAAGGTCACAGTGACTGTCACAACCCCGTCAAGGCATCAGCTAC